CCAACCAAAAAAAACATCCTGACTTTGCAAGTTTTAATGCGGAATCCGACAGATCTCAGCGAGCGCAGTCGGATGCCGCAATCAGAAGAAAAAAAGAAAAAAAAAATCTGGGCATTTTTTAGGGGCATCCGGTTTTGCCGGTTCACCCTCCCTGGACCGGGGCAGGTGATCCGGCCGGTTGCTGGCCCAGCCTTGATTATAAACCGTTTTTGTCTTTTTGTCAAATTTTTTTGGTCCAGCCGGATAAGTGGTCCCGAGCCACTCTGGTAGCCTAGTTTTAAAGTAAATTTTTACCATTTGATACTCTTACGCTGTTCGACCGTTTAACTGTTGGACCGGTTAAGTGCGAGGAAGTAAGTCCTCGGCAGGCCTTAAGGGCCCCTGTTTCATATGTGCCCGCCCTAAGTGAAGGCGGGCCTGTCAAATCACAAGAGGCCCTCAGCTGTCAATTTCGTATCTGGGGTCCAGGCAGTTTCGTCGCGCCAGTTGGTTGAAGGAAACACAGGCCGAGTAGCGAGGAAAATGCCCAGGCCTTCTAGGCTTTTCCAAAAGTGCAGGCCCTGGGCAAGATTCGCAGCCTCATACACAGACAGTTGGGAGGCCCAACCGAATGAGGCCCAGTAGCTGCACGAGAGGCGCAGCATCCTGGGGCCTACCGGAAGCTTCTGGGCCCAGGCCAGCCCAGCCAGGCTGCCGGAGGAGGCAGGCTCTTTCCATAAAGGAAAGAGCTCGCTGCCTGGCCAGGGCATTCGGGCACTTGCTGGCTGGCGGCAGCGCTGCTGGAGCGATAGCTCGCGTGCTGGCTGCTAGCGCAGGAGCAAGGTGCAGCGCATGTGCGGTCGTGTGAGGAAGAAGGGCACTGCTGCAGGCAGCGCCATAGCCCGGCCTTCATAGCTGGCGGGCTTGGACACACAGTGAGGCGCAGGGGTGGTCTTCGGATGTACAGAGGGAAGACGTAAGGGAGAGACAAGGGGGAGAGAGAGAGAAGGATGATGATGATGATGATGTGAGGGCACATACCTGGTATTGGCGATGGTCTGCATGGGCGACATCTTCAAGTACTTCGTGATCTGCTGACGTCAACAGTTGCATTGTCAATTAGTAGGCAGACAGTAGCTGTGTAGGGATTAGGCTGGGCGCCGAGCGCCAGGTAGGGAGATAGGGCCTGGATACTCATGTTGGTGGTGGCGAGAGCAAGCTCTCATTGACATTGGTTTTTAGTGTTACGATTCTTCATTGGTGTGATATTGGTGCAATGCTACTCTCTGGACACAGTTATACTATTTGGCCTTCAATGTGATTGTGTTTTCTGGTTATTGTCATCTCGCTGTTGCTCATTTTCCTTGCATAAGTGTTTGACTGTCTGATTGTTGGACCATTTAATTGTTTGACCGTTTAAGTCTCTCGGACCGTTTGCTTGTTCGGCCATTGATTGTTGAACCGTTTGATTATTTGACCGTTTGATCCTTTTTTTGGTATTCTGCAATTATCAATTTCTTTCTTTCGTCACCTTTATTTCATCATTGTTTCGTTGTTTATTTTGTAAGTTTTGTTGTTGTTTTCCCGTTTCTTGCAAGAAGCTGATGCGGAAAACGAAGAAAGAAGTTCACTGAACAAATGCACAAGTTGCCTCAGAGTGTTTACGCTAGCATTCTCTCACATCTGTGCAGAACACCGTATCAGGTATCAATAGTGTATGTGGGCCCAGACATCTCACTGTAAGGCCCTTGGCAGCCTATAGACCTCTTACAAGAAACAAGAGAGTCAAAAAGACTAAAGAAAACTGGAATCAAAACAGCGGAGAGAAAACATATACAATGAACAGCTGATGTGATCAACGGGCACAGATACCTCCAGTGCTGCTATATCTGTTCTCCTGTCAACTGCGACAACATTTGCACCTCGTGCAAGCGCGAGTTTCACTGCTGCTTTCCCGGACACCCCGAGACCAACAACCTGGCAGGGAACCACATGAGTGGAAAAACAGCACACGCATGCAACCAACCAACCACATCCATTCGTAATTTAAATTTTAACCACCTGCATTGAGCCTCACTGCTCGACACCTTGAGCACACACACACATTGAGAGATTACAAGAAATCAACACTGGAGTCCAGAGATGCAAAGTCCAGATATGCGAAGCTTAGAAATTCCAACAAATTCTCACATTAAACAGTTTCGGAGATCCAGTCACCAAGCGCTCAACAGCGCAGAATTCAGCAACCCAATAACAGCATCCTCATCTAAGGTAGGTGACTCTTTTCTCTCCCTGGCTCACTCTCTCTTTCTTTCTCTCTCTCTCTCTCTCTCTCTCTCTCTCTCTCTCTCTCTCTCTCTCTCTCTCTCTCTCTCTCTCTCTCTCTCT